AAATAATAATTTCTATTCTATAAACTAACTCTGGGTGCTTCTTTTAGCCAAACTTTAAAGCTCTTTGTGTTCCAAGAAAGACATCTTCCTGTTGCCTGGGCATCTGCAGTTTCAGGAACATCAGAAATAGGAAAGTGCGGGATCATTAAGTAGTACGGTGTTACATTATCAGATTTATACAAGATTTATACAGTATGTAAATGACTAGAAACAAAGCTGAATTTTGTAGTGTTCGGTGTTAAATATAATGTGCATACTTTTTATGATCAATGGCCAGATGATCAATGGAGGTAGAATGGGTGTTCTAGCAGCCAAATAAGCATATTTGACTCACAAAAGCAGACTTGGTTTTGAAATAAGATTGATGCAGATGTTTTGTCAGAACCAGGAATTGTAGACTGGTGCATGTTTGTCTGTAGAAATGAATCCTGTCTTAAAACTGGGTTTTGCTGCTTTTGCAGTTTCTACCTATAATCCTTTTGGTACAACCTGAGAATCTGTTACATCAGAATTGTCTGTGACATGTGGTAAGAACTGGAGGAGCCTCACAGCAAGCTCTTCGGCTTACCTATGCCATGTTTTAGTTTTTTCTGTAGAATCAGTTGTTATATACTTCCTTGCCAGTATGGGAAATCTCAATCCATTTTTTGTTGTTTTTTAAATTGCTTCCTAAGCAGTTTTAAGTGATTATGCCTCAGTTCTTTCTGAGTATCTTGTTATCAATAGGAGAGCTAACCCGTGCAAGCTCAGAATTTAAAGTTCTGAATTACAAAGACCCCCAAATCTGTGTAAATAGCCTCAGCTATGGATCTTTCAGGAGAATTTCGTGACCATTGTTAAAGTCATTTTTTAAAAAGGTTTTATGCTGTTGACCTTGATTTAATCTAAATGATTTGAATTTAGCAGGGGAGGAAGAGGCAGTTTACAAGAGCCTCTGCTCTATAAAAGACATATTTGATGCAGTATTCAAATCTTGTTATTTGTTCTAGCTATCCTAGTACATGACTAATGTTGAGTGGGCCTCACATCACTTTCTGACCTGTGGAATCAGGGCCTTCAGTGTTCTCTGCCCCCTAGGCGCAAGGCCCTGCAACTCTGGTCACCCAGCTGCAGCCCCAGGGCTGGTAGCAGCACCCTCTGCCGGGTCAGTTGGGAAATGGCAGTGTGCAAAGTGTGGGACCTGACTCCGTGTTTGTGCCCCTCCCTTTGCTTTGTCAGACATAAAGCAAATAACAAACAAGAGTAACTTCTTAAATTTTCCTTTGTCTCCCTATGTTTATGTCCCTACACAGTCTTTCCTTTATGTTATTTTTTTGGCTAAACCTGTAATTGTCAAACCAACACCCTAAATAAACCACTAATAATAAACAGTAAACAAAGCTTACTGTGTGTCACATTTTTAAAAAATAAAATAGTTCAGTATATACCATAATATTTCCTTAGCAAAGTACCAACAACCAAAACTAAAACCTAAACTCAATATTCAGACAAGTTCAAAAAGATTCAGTAAGTGTGTAACTTTCCCATAATTCACAGTTTAATGTTAATAATCTTAGCTATTTAGAAATTGTTTTTAACAAAGTAATATAAACATGGTTGACCTCCAGTAGGGAAGGCCTACTGGATATGTTTTAAGTCCAAAAACCCAGTAAGGCTAAGGAGCTGGGCTGGCAGTAGGTTGATAGTTTTGCTGGTGAGAGCCATAGAAAATGTGAGTAAATCACACAAAAGGAGATAGGAGATGTTAGCGAAAAGTACGTGGACCAACTACCATACACTGCTGTTTTTATCGTGTCCCATGAAGCCACTCCATCTGTTGAAGGCTGTAACAACTTAGGACCACACTTGATCTAGACCTCCATCCAAGTGTGGTCAGAACTCGTATTGCAAAATGCTCTTCCTCCGCCGTCAGTGTAGGTGCTACTTCAGTGCCTGAGTACCTGTACCTACACATTAAGAACAGAGATACTTTGCTCCTGGAACTCTCATATCCATGACCTCCCTCAGCAGTGTACCCAGCCACAGGGCACACCTCAAACCTCGTCGAATCTGTATGCAGATTTGTTTCGAAGGTCAGGGCTGAGGTGCAGGGAAGCATCCCCAAGACCTGGTGAGAGCAGCATTCAGAGGTACAGGTCCTGCTGGCCCCAGCCCAAGTGACCTGTGCTCTTCTGGAAAGGCAGCTGTGGTCACTGCCAAGGAGTGAGCATAGCAGCCTGAAGCCAGTCTCCAGCAGGGTGAAGACTGTTTCCAGAGAGCAAAGAGCACCGAGCAGGGTGAAGACTGTTTCTGGCTCATTATAAGAATGATGTTCTCTACAGTGGGGCTGTTGAAGTGCTGCAAACAGGTGCACATGTGTCTAGTTTCTCCTGGCTAACCCCGTGCAGCACCTCAGGGTGCTTCAGTACCATGCAAATGTGAAGTCCTTCCCCAGGTGTAGACTGATCTTGATAATGTAGCTGTTGGCCTGCATCACAGCTCCTCTCATGTGTTCAGCTTGTGTTTTGTTACATCATGGTTCCTCATCTCCATTCCTCAGATACCCAAGCACTCTGCTCCAGAGGAAGAGACAAAGTGTGAGGGGCAATAGAACGCTCCTGTTATATTTTCCCTTATTTGGGCAAGAAGTGCTGCAGCACCAATCCCCACTTGCCTCGACATCTTCCTGTGGTCCTGGACCTCCACTACCAATCCATAACTAGTCCCACCCAACTACTTCCACTATATGGCTATTTAGACCCTGTTCACTTCCTCAATAAACGAGACTTGATCAGAAAGCCTGTCTTGGGCTGGAGAGATGGCTCAGTGGTCTAAAGCACCTACTTAGAACAAGCTTAGCAAAGCAGCAGGGACCGCGGTTCGATCCCCCAGCACCACATGCCAGCCAGCCCTGCCCCCTGGTGGGCTGAGCTGGCCACACACACACACCACACACACTCACTCTCTCTCTGTCTCTCTCTATCTCTGTCTCTCTCGCTCTCAAATAAATAAAAAAAAATTTTTTTTAAATAAAAAAAAATAAAATAAAATAAAAAAATAAAAAAGAAAGCCTGTCTTGTCTCTGTCTCTTGTGTCTCTTGCCCTGTCTTTTTCATCCCGGTTCCTCCTCCAGGTCATTACCCCATGTCTTGACTCGCGGGCCGAGTCAACAAAGTGCCAGGGTTTCCCTCAGTTTAGTGAGAGAGAATAATAGCTGATACTTCACCCCCAACAGCCTTCATTTCTTTCCTTGTTGTGGCTTTGTTAGTCATGTCCAAGAGGAGGAAAGAAAAAAAAGTCTCAGGTAACGGAAATCAGTGGCTGAGGCATGCGGCTGGGATTTTGCTTCATTCTTGGTTTTCAGCCACTCTTCACTCAGAACTCAAATCTTGCTTTTTACAAATCATAAGGACACTTCTAAATATAAAATTTTACATGACGAACTAACTCAAATACCCAGTCCCTCGATGGAAATGAATTTTGCTAGATGACTGGTCAAATCTATCAGTTTTTTTTTTCTCTGTAATTTCTTTCTTCTTTTTTAACTTTGAGAGTTTCCACCCATCTGTTTGTGGCACTTGGTGTCATAGAAGACAGTGCAACCAAGAAGCTTCTGTTAGTCCAGCAGAGGCGGGCATCACAGGGGCAGAGCTGAGTCCACCCCAACTCTGAATATGTGGCCTTCAGACTTTGTACTTCATGAAGTTAATCTCTTTGATTTAAGCCAGTAATGATCAGGTTCACAACTGTAAGTACTTTAAACTATGGCCCCATTTTGACAAGTATAAATACTGGTGCTCTGAGCCCTGGTTTGGTTCTTGGTGCTATTCTGACACAACATCCTCTCCCTTTGTGACCTCACTCTTTGCAGTATTATCTATTCTGGAGACACGGACATCTATTTCTAGCGCAGACTCTTCTCCCCCCCACCCACCTTCAGTACCAGGGATCGAACCCGGGACCTTACACTTGACCGGCAGGCACGTATGCTGCTGAGCTGTATCCCTGGCCCCAGACTCTTCTTTTGAACTCCTAGAGACATCATTACTTGGGTCTCTCCCTGGAACCTCACCTTGTCCAAAACTGAGCTCATGCTCTTACCCCTAAGCTTGTTTATCCCACAGCCTTCCTCTGCTGCCTTAGCCACTAGAGCTTGAGACCCAGGAACGGCCACTGCTTTTTTCGCCCTGCATCAGCCACCAGCCCTGCTATGTCTCCCCGTATCCACCCTACTGATGTTCCTCAGTGGGCACCTCTTAGAGCTCCTCTGGACCTCACCACGGGCACTGACTTGGCTCTCCTGCACCTTGTCAGGGCCTCTCCAACTGTGTCTCTGCCTTCCAGTCAGAATGATGTTCCTAATATGCAGATCCAGTCACATCCCTATTAAAACAATTACTTAGGAGAAGGACATTCTTTACTGAAATGGGTGAGACGAAAGGTAAGATGGATTGTGCTTTCCTTGAACGCAGTGTGTTTCCCATCCCCTCAGGCTCAAGCTGAGATGCCTCCCTACAGCTCACCACACCACCAGCCAAGCAGAAGCCGATGAAGGTGTGGTTGAATGTAAGGGTGAATTTATAATGAGGTTTATAAACTGGGTTGCAACCCATGAGTGAGTCATGAAATCAATCTAGTGGATTAGAATTCATTTAGAAAAACAAATAGTATATAAACAACAAAGGTATTATTAAACTTTTAAAATGTGTCCTAATAAGTTGCAATAATAACATTAAAAAGCAAGTTACTTTCCTGTGGTAAGAAAAAGCAGTTTTATTCAGAAAAAAGAAAAGAAAAGAAATAGTAACTGAAAAAGCCCTTACCCTGGGAGAATGTACTTTACAAATGCCAAAGCTTTAGTCAGAAAGAAAGTGCTAGCTCCAGAGTTCCTCACAGCTTCTGCCAGGCAACTGTTGCCATGGGCCAATCATGATTAGGAGAGCCGTTTAATGCTGCTTGTCGTGAAAATAGATCTTAAACTTATTTTGTCTTACAACTGATGATGCAAGTGGAAGCCCACTGTGAATTCCCTGCTGTTGAACGAGGATGATCACCTGGTTAACAGTGAAGTGTCTTGGAGAACTTAACTGGCTGCTTCTCCAACTTTCTCTCCAAAAAACGGAGTCCCTTGAGCCAATCAGCCACTGCCATTCTGTTTCCATAGTGATCAAAGAAACAAACCCCTGCCACTTCCTGAGGTGGAACCTTGTGAGTCAGGCGGTCTGAGTGGAGAGCGTTTCCTTCTCCTCTTGTCTTTCATTTCAGCACCAGGAGACGGATTGGATTTTCTTCAGAAAGTTCCCGTTCATGCCAGTTCAGCTCTTGTGGAAGCCTTACACTAGATTCCACAGAAATCTGTCTCTATACTACTCCTACTATGGATTTCTGCTTTGTTATCTCCACCACTTGGGATAACCACCAAAATTCTGAGTTTTAGAACTTCTGAGTTTGACTTAAAATGAATTCACTTTCTTTGTAACATTTTGGTTTCTTTCAAGACACTTGATTTGGGAAGGAATCACTTGAGAAAAATAAAACTTCGGGCAATCCAAGGTAAGTTATTTTGAAAAGATGTTTTATTTAATTTTTTTCTTATTGTTTGTACTAACTAGTGTGTCACTAACTGGCACATCCAGCCCTCTAGTCTTTAGACAAATCATCAGAGAGAAATGCAGAAAAGAGAAAAAAAAGAGGGAGAGAATCCTGACGTATGTGCACACACACCCCTATATATTGCACACCCTCACAACTATACAATATTATGTTAAACCAGCACAAGTTCAAGGGCCGGCCAGATAGCTCAGTGGACTAAAGTGCCTGCTTAGGCAGAGCACAACAACTTGGGTTGGATCCCCAGTGTGCCCTGCTGGCCCTGCCCCCGGGGTGCACTGAGAGGTTGAGACTGGGCATGGTGGCGCACCTGTAATTCTAGCACTTGGGGGGGCTGAAAACAGGATAATCACTGCGAATCTGATTGTGTAGTGAGACTCTGTAAACCCTGTTCTAAATACATTTTTTTAAAACAAACCAGCACAAGTTCAGATCACTCAATGCTGATACGGAATACCTATTAGATATCCTGATATATAAAAAAGCAAGGTGCAGCACAGTGTGCAAATTATGCTTTCATTTATATAAAAAAAATGCACACACAAAGACACAGAAGTTTTTAGAATGATGCCTAAAATGACTGTCAGCTGGTTTCCTCTTGGCAGACTCCTGGATGTCAAGGGCTGATGTTTACTGGTCTGCACAGTTGCTGACAGCAAATGTCCGCTATCCAAGAACCCCACATGTCCTTCTTCTCACCTTGGTTGTCTCAAGAACTCATATTCAGTAACTAAGATGGGGTGTGGCTGAGTGGGGTATCCCAGGAGCTGGCTAACACCCTGTAGCTCGTAATACCCATCCCATTTGTTCAACAGCGTTGTATTTTTGGTCCTAAATATCAACAGGTATTTGAAGGGGGAGAGAACTTTATAACAGCAAACTAACACCACAACATTTATAATGAAAACAGACAAAAAACTTCATCAATATAAAGCTGATCAGAAATATAAGTGAAGCCAAGTGTGGTCGGACACACTTATAACCCAACACTCTAGGAAGCTACAGCAGGAAAAGCAAGCTTTTAAGCCCACCCTGGACAATTTAGCAAATTACCAAATCCCTATCTCAAATAGAAGATGGATAATGTAGCTCAATATGAAGGTTTTAATCCTTAGTGCTATACAAATATATGAGTACATGCATAGAATAGAAATTCCCAGGTATGGTAACAAATTCAGTGTGATTTTCAAGGTTTTCTTTAAAGTTGATTTACAATAATCCAATATCAGAAGAGGAGAATTGGTAAATGAATGAGATTATCCATGTGTTGCTAATTGTTGAAACTGTGGGTTGAATGAATTCGCTGTACTCTTGCTATTTTGGTACACTTAATTTCTCCATTGTAAAAGGTTAAATAGAAAAATGATATAAATTTAGTTACTGACATAAAAGTAGCTAATGTAAAAAAAAGTTTTTCCCCACTTATGGAAACTATATAAATATGATTCATGAGTAATGAGCTCTAGAAAGCATTAACCAAAATATCTTCAGTGGTCATCTCTCGGTTTTAACATTTGGGTGTGTTTTACTTCCTTAGGCTTTTCTGTTATGATTTTCTTCACAATGAGCCTTTTAAAAAATGTAATGCACGAATAGATCAATGCATAATAAACCTAAAGATGTAGAAATAAAGATTTCTATATGCAGAATTTCACTGACAGTGCCATTCCTAACCCTGACTTTTGAAGACCTACTGTGTGCAAGGTGGTGTCTCAAGAGCTTTCCTGACATGGCTTTAACATGCACAGCAACACAATTCACTGTAGGCCACAGCATCACTCTTTGCTGATAAGGAAACTGAGACTCATAGAACAGTAAATTCTTTGCAGCCTGCATGTAAATTGAGAAACTTCTATACAAAGGCAGGCCCACTTGATTTCAAAGCCCACAAAAAATGTTCATACGGCACATTTTGTAGGGAGAAACTCAATGCTGACATTCTGGGCCAATTTTTATTTTGTAATGTATTGTTTTCTAACCCTTGCCCACATAAGTAGGTGACTTTAACAACTGTATCATTGTATATATACCATTATACTGTTTTACCTTTTTTTCCCTAAGTACTTCATATTTCCACAGACTTTACTAGGTTTTGTTGATTTTTTTTTTTTTTTTTTTTTTTTTTTTTTGGCGGAACCGGGGATTGAACTCAGGCCCTTATGCTTGCCAGGGAAGCGCTTATTCCACTGAGCCATCTCCCCGGCCTACTAGGTTTTGTTGAATTATTTTGTTTGTTGGAATTTGGTGGTTGTTGTTGCTGTTAGCCACACCCCCAACCCTCTTTGGGTTTTTAAATGATCTTTTTATTTATTTATTTATTTATTTATTTTAAACATTTATTTATTATTTGTGTGTGTGTGGCCAGCTCAGCCCACCAGGGGGCGGGCTGGCTGGCATGTGGTGCTGGGGGATTGAACCGCGGTCCCTGTGCTTTGCCAAGCTTGTTCCCAGTAGGTGCTTTAGACCACTGAGCCATCTCACCAGCCCTAAATGATCTTTTTAAATCTGTGGAAAACTGAATGATTGTATCACATATGGAGTTTACTTATATATTCTGGCCTTGAAACTCTAATACAATTATCTATCATTATTGCTGTCTTATTTTTTCCTTACTGGGACGAAATACCCAACATTCACAAATTAAAGGAATAAAGGTTTATTTAAGCTCACAATTTATAGAGGTTTCAGCCCAAAATCAGCAGGCACCAAGAGAGGGCACCATGGCCATGGCAGAAGGGAAGCAGCCCACGGCAGGGTAGGCAGGAGGCAGGAGCAGCAGGCTTGGCTTTTCCTTATATCCCATCCAATCTACAGTCCTTTTGGTTGTTGCCACCAACACCTGGGGTGGAGATTCCCATTATCCACACCCAGAACTATATTAAGCCAGTCAGTGGGTTTATTTAGTTATCACACAGCCATAATCTATATTCATACATCTAGATCCAGCCCCTTCTGAAAACCCCACTTATGAGCACCTATGAGCTTTGGGGGACATCTAGATAGACAATATAATGGTTGGGATGACATAACATTTTGGCAGTTTTGCCTGTGGATCTCTTTCCTCGTTGAGCCTGTTGCAATGAGGCATGACTGTAGAATAAATAAATAAATAAATAGATAGATAAAATTTAAAAATATATACAGTGATTGTTTAAATAAAAAATTAATTATAATAAAAGACATATTCCCACTAATCCCTCCCAAAATACCACCCATCACTTCAAACATATTTACCCTGTTGTTCTTGCCACTTTCTGAAGCAATTCTGGAAGTCCCCTTTCGTGAGTGTTTTCTCCTTGCTCTCTTTATGCCCTAAATCAATTCAAAATATTTAAAGCAGTCTGTCAAATTAAAAGAAATTACAGTGTGTTCTCATTCACATTGTTTGCTGGATCTGGTACCATGTAACTCCTGGCTTTTCCTCAAAGTCATGGGCATGAAGGCAGCCACAATGTTCCAGTAAAAACCGCCTCACTAATGGGGACTTTTGGAACCACTTCAGAAAGTGGCAAGGGCAATAGGACAAGAGTGTTCAAAGGGGAAATATTTTAACAGTGACCAATGACAGTTGCCCTTTCCTGTGATAACTTGTAAACTTATTCTTTAATGTTTTGTGATCATAACCTTGTATGGTTACAGCCAGCAAATTTATTAATCAAGTACATATTTGTCAAACACCTGTTGGGGGAAATCTCATTGCTACCAGCTTTTGTGTCCTGAAGAAATTCTTTCCAGGTTGCTGGAGTCCTGAGCAAAGACCAGGACGAGACACTCAGAAAAGGTAGTGTGGATCTGCATTTACTGAAGGTGCAACAGAAGTAGACTCTGCTCTGCGTGAGGGCAGCCGTGAACAGACCTGTAGCATCCCTGAGGAGAACGGCAGAGCTCTTGGGTCCGGAATTCTTAGACTGCTTCTCCCTCATGCACATAAGGCATTTGGGGTGGTTGTCCTATGAGAAGCTCACTTGGCCTGGCATCGGATTTAAACTGTCCTGTTGAAGGCTCCTTTGGTTTTGTGCCAGATGTAAATGAAGAATCAAAAATGGCACTTTCTGATCGGTCCCATATACCGTATTTTGGACATAGATCTTGGGTCTCCATGACTGACAGACTTTTACAGTTGTTTAACCAATGACCTATTTCAGCATCATTGGGCTCAATGAGTGGCAGAGAGAAGCCGGGCTAGAAGGCTGGCCCTCAGAACCACACAGTGCAGGTATACAGGATCTGGCAGAGGAGGGAAGTTCCTGGGAGCTGTGCTTCCTTGGCCTTTCTCTTGCTGATGCTCCTCAGGTTCACAGTTGGTACCTTTCCTTGTGGGCCTAAGGAGGAGCCAAGCTTCTTCCTTGCTGTAGTGGAAGTCTCCTTCCAGACACTTGACTGGATCCTGCCCATGGGGCTCACCTTCACGGCTTGCCTGCCCAAGCCCATGAGCTTCCCTGACTTTGTCTGCTTAATGTTTCTGAACAGGAGAAGCCCGGACAGTTAGATATGGCAGCCCTGTCACCTAATTTTGAGTCCTTAATGGCTGCTTCCCTGGAGTCTTGGCCTCTTTGCTGTCCCAACTGTACTCTACGTGGGCCCTAGCCCAGCCCATGCCTGCAGTCAACTTCACTGTGTGCCCGGCTTATCCCAAGCAGGTCCCCTCCCTGAGACCACGTCTGAACGCGCAGGACCTGCCCAGCCTGTGGTGCAGCACTCCTGCAGGAGCCTATGTCCCAGTCTTAAGCCAGTGTCTTCAGGGGCAGCCATCACCTCAGTGCTCTCTGCAGAGTCACTCTTTAGACCACGTTTCTGGGCTTGTCAGGCACCAGTCATGCTATAGAAGAAGGTTTATTATTTCATCTCGCAGCTAACCCTTAAGCAGATCTGTCCTAATACAGTGCAGATGTTCCTTGCTTAATGACCTAGCAACCCATCTTGGAGTTTTTTGTTTGGTGTTTGGTTTTGTACAGTGCTGGATACCTGGTTTCTAGAGCCTTGTTTTTCTTTGTATAGTGCACTTTGCACAGCACTGTAATTTCTGCAGATTGCTCTGCACCGTACAGTGCTGCTGTTTTATATTCCATTGCAATGGCAAACAGAAACACTGAAAGGACACCCACAATTCAGAGGCAATTTATTTACATCAGTGGGCACTGATCAGGTTCACTCCCAGAGTGTCAGGCCTGATCTCTGCTGGTCTAGGGCTTCTATGAGATAAGCAAGCAGGCCGTGCAGAGGCAGAATGACCTGTCAGTTGCAGCATGGTCTATACAACGTGCATCACAATGACCAGCCGTTTCTAAGAGACAGGAGCAACCCGAAACAAACAGGAACTGTTGCTTAGGTAACTAAGACACTAAAGTACACTGTGCACGGGCTGGAGGGGGCACTTTCTGTTTCACTGTTACACATTACAGTACTGCATTTAAGAGTCATGTAGGGCTGGCCTAGTAGCTTAGTGGATTAAAGCGCCTGCTTAGGCAGACGCAGGAGCTGGGGGTTTGATCCCTGGGCCCTGGCCCTGAGGTGCACTGAGATGGCAATTGAGACTGGGCATGGTGGCACACGCCTGTAATCCCAACACTTGGGAGGCTGTAAACAGGAGGATCACTACAAGTCCAATCTATGTAGTGACACCCTGTAGACCCTGTACTAAATACAAAGAAAAAAAGAAAGTCATGTAGCTGGGGATATAGCTCAGTGGCATAAATGCCTGCCTAGCAGCACAGGGTCCTAAACTTGATCCCTGGTACCAAAAATAAAAATAAAGAAAGAAATGTAAAAAAAAAAAAAAAAGTCATGCAAATAAAGCAAAGTCATCAGTTGGAGTTTTCTTTGGCTATTACTTTGTTCTGAATATTGAAATGTACATAAATATACAACTCTTCATTTAGTGAACAGCCCATCTTGATACAAGGGACATCTGTGTTAAAAAAAACCAGTCGTTGGGGGCTGGGGACATAGCACAGCAGCACAAGTGCCTGCCTGGAAAGTACAAGGTCCTGAGTTTGATTCCTGGTAACGAATAAAAATTAAATAATCATTAACTTAGAAACTGAAGTGTTTGTTTTCTTGTTTGTTCATTTGTTTGAGACAGGATCTCACTGTATAGTTCAGGCTGGCTGTGAACTCACTATGTAACATAGGTTGACAATACTCCTGCCTCAGCCTAGTGAGTGCTGGAATTACAGGTGTGTGTCACCACACCCAGTTAGAAACTGAAGTTTAAATCTCCTGTCATATTAATGCTTCTGTTGGAATATTGATTGTCATAATATTTTTAGTGTTTTTATTTTGTATAAGTAATCCACTGATATTTAAATATCAAAGGGCATTAAAAGTCATTAAGGGAAAGTCACCACCTCCTTCCCACCCTCTATAGTTATCAGCTCAGCTCTTCGGAATGCTGCTTAGGGACAATGTGAAGTTTCAAGTCCTTTAACTATTTCTTTTGCGTGTGTGTGTGTGTGTGTGTGTGTGTGTGTGTCTGTGTGCGATTTTGTTTGTCCAGACAGGGCCTTGCTGTGTAGTTCAGGCTGGCCTGGCCTTGAACTCATGGCGATCCTCCTCCGATTTTCCACCTCAGCCTCCCAAGTGCCGGGATTACAGCTGCGCACCACCATGTCCAGTTTAGCTTTTCTTTTGGACTTTAGCATCCTACTTATAAATAATTTCCCTTTGCTCTGTCAACATTCCTCGGATTGGTTTATTTTTTTGCAGTGCTCTGCCCCCAAGCTACCTTCCTAGCCCACTCTGCCAACTTTTCAGTTTTAGATCCACACCGGTGGCAAAGGGCCAGCTCTTCCGCACCCTCTTCCTGCCCTTGCCCACGTCTGCTGGTGCCCTAGCTCTGTTTGGGCGGCCACATGAACGTCGAAGCCGATAGAGACGCGTGTGTTCCTTCCCCTAACCATGCAATTGCTTGGATAATTTTTCAACCTGCAGGGAAGGCGTACTTTATTTCACGGTTTCTGCGCCCTTACTGACAATGTTCTCCCTGTGCTGTCTAACTCGGGATCCTCTGTAACAGCTTATCACAAAGTTAGAAGCTCCAAAGGCGCCAACTTGTTTTCCTGCAGTGCTTAAGATCAAAGTAAGAAGAGAGGACGCGGGACTTCCCCAGCAGGGTGCTTTCCTCTCTCGCAGGCTGCCCGAGTCCCTCAGCCTCGCCAGTCACTGCCCGGCATCGCCACAACTGTCCGACGACCCAGAGCAGTCTTCCCACCACCTTAGATCCCTGCTGCGCAGGAACTCTGGGGTCAGGACGTGCGGGTGGGCGCCTTGCCTGCTCCGCGCTCCCGCAGATGTGTCCGTGCCTAGCAGCTTCGCGGCGGCGGCGCAGCGGTGCTGGGAGTCTCCGGGGACCTCACTCCGCAAGTGCGCCCTGCTCTTCGCTGCCCACTGCCAGTGCAAAGGCCGCTGCGTGCCATGTCGTCTTCTCTCCCATTTTCTTGCGCAGAAACACCAGAAATAGGCTCCTGGGGAAGAAAGGCAGGGTGTAATTCAGCTCAGGCACCCGCAGGCTAAAATCTGATGTGGGCGCTGGTCTGGAGGAGGGATTGAGTTCTTTGTGTTGAGGGAGGGGGTTTATAATCTAGGAATCTGGACTGAACGCAGGGGTTAAAGTTTCCAGAAGGGTCAGCACAAGTGTGCAGACACTAGACAGCCTGACACCTGGAGGACTGTATGCCCAGTCTTACATTTACGGCCATCTGTTCTGTTTTCTGAGGGCAGCATTCCCCACTCTGTGAACTTTTGGAGCTGCTTTGTCTGTACAAGGGAGATACCAACAACTGACCACTTAGGTTTCGCAAGAAGAGCAGGTCTTACATTAATTTTGCTCCAAGACATGCACGAGGACATCTTATTTTTTCATGTACAGCAGTCTACATTTATTCAGGTAATAGTCATGTCATTTTCTTCTGGAACACTGTCATTGTGACAGCCTAAACTCAGACTCTTAGGGTAAGTACTGCAAGATAAACTTTAGCTGACCCCAGAGTTGTAAAAACAGGCCTAGTGTGAAACAAAATGCTGGCCCTAAACAATAACAGGAATAAAAACAGTAGCCCAGATATATAGCCAGAAAAAAGTCTGTTTGACAGGCAGGATGTGTGCTGATCTGTTTGACAAACAGGATCCGTGCTATACATTTTATTCTGTTCGACAAGCAAGATACGTTGCATATTCTCTTTATATGTTCTCTGTGCTTTGTTTTTGTCTTTCCCCCTTTACGTACCTGCCGTGTCTTCTGGTCAGAGCTGCTCACTTAGACTCTGAAGCAGGGGTCTGTGCTAACGGCCAAAATCTTCAAATTTTAATTAGCTACTTGGATTCCTGTATTGATTATGAACTCACAACGATCATAGCTCTGCAAAATCCAAGTTATAGCCTGCATTTCTTCTGACTCTGCTTCCTGTAGAGGTTAGTGGTAGTTGATACACTGTGTCAACTTGGCTGAGTCAGCTCTGGCAAGTCTCCGAGTGGGGGCTCAGCCCTGCAAGCGGGCAGGGCCCAACCTGGGGTGCTACTGGGCCAGCACTGGGGTGTGATGGGTTCAACCCCAGGGCCATGGGCCACCCCAGAGTGACTCAGCACAACAAGTGTATATAAAGGAATTGAGAAAGGCTTTCTGCTGCCCTGATAGCTTCCTTGGAGAGATCCCAGTCTTCTTCCCAGCCTCGTCTGCTCTTCATTGTTTTCTGCCGCCACGAATGAGTGAGAAGTAACTAAGACAAGCCATCAGCCCTAATCTCTCCTGGCCAGCAGCAGCACCCTTCCTCCGTGAGCACTGCCCATTCGCACAGCCTGTTCGCAGCATGCTGGCACTGGCCGATGTCAGTGATTTTATCCCAGGAGGGCATAGCCCAAGTGTCTTCCAGCTGGGCTTCACTGAATTTCCATCACATCAGCTGTTAATTAAAGACTCATGGGACAGGCATGGCAACAAATGATGCAGTTAGAATGATGCTGCACATAAATGTGCCGAAAACTTGCAGACAACACAATTCACAGACGTTTATTTCACACAAATGTGCTAAGTACATTTGTTGTAATACATGACTTACTGAGTTGTGAAGAATCATACTGGACACACCGTGCTCATCACCACCTGTGCATGCTGTTCTGTGCTGTGCCCATATGTCACCCAGCAGTGAGTCTACAGTTCATCTGTCTGTAGAGGCCAGAAAGGGCCACCCTTCCAGAGCTCGCGAGGGTGCAAGCAGCCCGCTGCACTGCGTGTGCCTCAGGTTCACTGCCACCGACACAGACGTTTACCTCTCAGCCAAAGGCCCACTTGGGTATTTACAAACAATTATAATTTATATTATCATTTTAAAATAAGTAATGTCAATAATATTTATATTTAATTATTCATATTATTATCTTATAATTCAGTATGTCTGTTGTGTGTTGCAATGGGCATATTAAATGTGCTCACCTGGCTGATAATCTTAACTGTGGCTTATTTGGTTATTATGTTATAACCACCCTGAAAAATCACAGAAAGACTTATTTTGCAATTAGGTTCAGGGAAATACAGTGACTCATGGCAGGAAGTGGATCTGGAAATTTTAAACGGTTCCAGGAGCAATCTACTGGGTATTAAGAAGTGAGGCTTTGTCCTGCCCAAGGCCCTACACCAGGTCAGCAGCTGCTGCTGTCCCTTAGGGCCTGCCTTGGCCCATCTGTTGCTCACTGAACATTTTGCTTTAACTCTAGGGACAGCGCAACTCTCTGCTGTTATTTTCCTGCCTCAGCGACAGCCAAAACGGTGGCTGGCCTGGCCATGTACCGCAACCCTCTAGTCTACTGTACCTGCTGGGACCCCTGGGGCCTGGGGCCGAGACAGCTCATCGAGACGCCCCAGCCGCCACGTAAGGCCTCCTGGCGCAGGTCCAAGTAAGGAGTGGGCTAGGTTGTTCAAGGGGTAGGAGGCTGTGGTGTGGGCCTCACTCGTGGCCTTCTCTGTCTCACAAGAGCTCCCAAAGCAAGCTGCACCCAGCTTTCTGCACTTTCCTGGCCAGCCTGGGCTGCACACCAACCTGGCCAGCCCTGCCGGCTAGTCCCTGTTGCTTCAGCGAGTGATCCCTAGCACAGGGCAGCTTCCAGCACAGCATGGCAGTGGCCCCCACCCTCTTCCTGTGTGATGAGTTTAAGGCCTTGGCCTGAGGTCTTCAAGGCCTTGGAGGACCTTCAAGAGCCCAGTTGTACAACATAGATTCCAACTTTGGGAATGTCTTGGTGGGGAGTGTGGGAATTCCTAATTTCCAGCATTTTATTTCATTTACATATTTTCACTTTCAGGCTAACCCCTCTGTTACCAGTTTCAAAAGAACACAATTACCTCCAACCTCTACCACCAACAAAACCTGCTCTTGCCCCTAAGTAAGTGTTGCGGTACAGAGGCAGCAGTGGGTGGAGGTGGGGCCTGTGGATAACACTATCCCCCTTGACGATGCTAGCCCTGGATGACTCAACTGATCTGCGGCCAGGCACCCCGCACCACCAGAACACAGAGCCCCCCGGCCTCAGGCCTGCACACAGGTGGTGCTCACTGCCTCGCCGCGCAGCTGCGGCAGCCCGTTCCTCCACTGCCACCTTCCAGCATCAAATATTGTCTACAGATTGCATCAGTTTTCATCACAAATGACAATTTTTACTCACATTTCACAGGCTTAGAAATATAAAGCTTTAGGTCTTTGCATGGGTCTTTGTATTCTGTTTATTTGGAAACTATTGATTGAGTACCTGTTGCTTGTCAGGCACTGTTTCAGGTGCTAAGAAAACAGCCATGAAGTGGATAAATTGAGGCAAGCATCTGCTGTCCTGCAGTTCACGTTGTAAAGGGGGAAGGAGGAAGAAGCTGTGCCAGGTTGTCAAGTGCTGTGCGGAAAAACACACAGGCAGAGAGGGTGGGACATGGCCCAGATAGAGGGGCAGCGAGACCCTGCTGATATCTGGGGCCCTCCTGACCAAGGGCAGAGAGGGACAGGCCCCACAGGACAGGCTCCAAGATCCTGGCGCCTCCAGGGACACAAGAGAAGCCAACAGCTGCTCAAATGAAACAGGAAGGGCTGTGGCACAGGTGAGCTCAGGGAGCCCTTGACAGATGGTTCATGTGGTGGGATGGTGACCCCAACCCTGGAGATGGCAACTGTCATCTTCCTCACTGAAGAGGAACCCGGATGGCTGACAGGAGAGCCAGCCTGCGTTTTCCAAGGACCATGGTGCCGATCTCAAAGGTCCTTTTAGTTACTTTTCTCTCCTTGCTGAAAGAAAATATCCGAATCCCAGAATTAAGGAAGGAAAGTTAGCTCTGAGTCCCACAGTCAGCTGCTCCAAGGCAGGATGGTGTGGTGAGGAGCAACAGTTCAAGGCGGCAGAGGCAGCAAAAGCCACAAAAGCGAAAGTGGAGAGAGGGAGCCTCTTCCCCTCCCTTATTGTATGTAAAAGACCCAAGGGGGTCTTCTACATCCTTGCATCTCTGTGCCCTCCTCTGGCCCAGCTCAAAATGTTTCCAGAGTGAGGACCCTGCTGCTGCTGAATGGCTGGGTTAACCTTCTAAACTTCTTGAGTTGATACAAAGTATCAACCGTGGCAAAGAGGAAGTTGCTGTGGCAGTCAGCAGAGGGGATCAGTGGTGCTGGGAAGGAGGAAGCCTCTGTGGTCTGGGGGATGAGAGGGAGGCCCGGGATTCGGTGGCCCCCAGAACCACCCCAAGACTGCCTTGAGCACACAGCCCTGCATCTCAGATTTCAGTCCACCTGGCCTGAGCCAGTGGGTTCCCGCCGTCCCAGGGCTCCCCAAGGCTGAGCTGGAGCAGAGGTCAGGTGACAGTAGCACTGAGGGGCAGCTCCCCACTTTGGACAAAGTGTTACAGTGTCCCAGAAGGCCCCAAAGCAGAGAAGAGAAGCCTGGACTTACAGGTCTGCTGAGTACCACCATGAACATTCTGGGATGAGGAGGGTCGCTGGGCGGGGTTTAAACTACACACTCAAAGAAACGGTGGCCAGAAGCAAGGGAGAGGGGCAGTTACAGCCCAGGGCCAGGTGTGTCTCTGGGGCCCAGGGACTGGAAATGCACAGAGCTTGGGAGTCCATGGGCAGATTACAGAGGGAAGGCAGCAGCTCTTCCTGCTGGAGTAACGTCTGGGAGGCTGAGCACCATGCCATGCTGTGCCACACAGTGACAGCCACGGGTAGACAGCAGGCCTCCACTCTACTGGAACATGCAGCTCCCAGTGATCCCAAACCCAGCATGGGCAAAGAGCTAAAGAAACAGTTTAAGAGAAGATAATTTATTTGAAGGTGGGAAAGGAGGAAAAGAGATGACTCAGAGAATTCAAAAGTGAATTCTATCAACCTGTGGTCTGCAGCTCCTGTTGTTGAGAGCAGAGCCTTGTCTCACATAGCCTTTTGAGCTCTGCTTGGCTCCCTGGCTTGTCTTTCAGCCTAGCCTTGGATTTGTTCTGCCCACTCAACCTTCCCCTATCCGTTGGGGTGAAATTATGGGTAGAGGTCTTATGGGCAAGCAGTTTAACTAAAGATTAAATGAAAGGGAAGTCTGAGATTTTTATTTCAGTTGAATTGCCTAGGAACCTCCTGTTCCTGAGGCTGAGGCAGGAGGATTACCAGGAGTTCAAGGCCAGCCTGGCCTATGTGGTGAGTTCAAGGCCAGCTTGGACTGTGAGACCCTGCATCAAAAAAACAAAAACAAACAGGTTCCACCTGGACAGAATGAGGTGAGGAACAGCTCTTCCCAGGTGGTGAAGGCCCACTCGTGGGAAGCATAGCCCAGAAATCCTGTCTTTAGGGGCCTTGGGGATTTTGGACTACATCTGGGCCGTGAGCCTCTGTTTACAGCCAGTGTGCAGCTGCTCCTCTCCATGTCTCCTCATCACTGGTCTGGTCCTTGTTCCTGCCATGTGCATTGCTCTGAGCTCATCCTTATCTTGCAGAGAGAGCATCTATCCTGGGAGGCAGGAGGAGAGACCAAAGTCACCTCAGGTGAGTAAACCATGCTCGGGTAGAGGGAGGACACCTTCCTCACACCTGCCCATGAGCCTGGGAGGACAAATATACCAACCTGGCTATGGTGGTGGAACCTCCACTGACCCCCACAGGGGCTTTAGCTATGCCTTGCCTGTGGAGAGCAAGAATCTGGGGCTGCCAGGCACCCTGAGGGCCCAGGGGTTCCAGGGTATAAAACTGGAGAGCCACGCTGAGGAGCGAGGCCAGCTGGGTCCCAGCAGAACCAAGGTGAGACGCTAGTGACCACAACTTGCTGAGCACAACAGACCAGGTGGCTCATCGGGTTATTTTGTTTTCCTCACAATAGCCCTTCACAGCCAGGCACAGTGGCCTCCACCTGTCACCCTAGCACTCTGGGAGGCTGAGGCAGGAAGATGGCAAGTTTGAGCCCAGCCCGGGGCAACTTAGTGGCTCAATGAATGTGAGCTGCAAAAGGCATTGGGGATGCAGCCCGGTGAGAAGCCCTGGGTTCAGCCGCAAGCCTCTGCAGAAGAGTACTGAAATGCAGAGATGCTGAATAGCTGTAGGTCAGTGGCAGCTGCACATCTGAGTGGTTTCTATAGCTCCCAGGTACCTCCCTTCTGCTCTGGTGTGCAGGACCACAGAGGAGGGGCTTGGCAGCAGGGCAGGGTGCGGGGCAGGGCTGGGGCTCCAAGTGGCTCAGCTTGCACTGCTGGGGTGCAGGCGGGCTGGGCCAGGACACCTGGCCCCATGACTCAGGATGAAAGGGAGCCCAGCAAGCTTCACTTTGCCCTTCTCCTGGTGCCCAGGAGGTGATCGATGTGTCTCCTGGCTACCAGCTGGTTCGGAGTCGAGAGCAGATCTCTGTCACCTTGGGGGATGAGATGTTCAGTAGGAAAAAGCAGCTGGAACCTGAGGGTGCAGATGGAGTCAGTGTTCCCAGGTAATGCCTTTGGCCCATGCCCGGCTCCTCCCAACTGGCCTATGTGGCCTCCAGTTCCTCCGCCACGCAGGGCCTGGGTCCCCTGCCCAGCAGGTGCCTCCAGATCATCCTGCCCATCCCAAAGCCTGTTCCCACTCTGGCTCCGGGGACAGGATGGAGTGATGTGCAGTGTAGACTGGTGAGGGACAGGTGAGGCCGGCACACATCCCTCCAGACTGTACAGCCTGCCCTGGTGGCTAAAGTTTGCTGAAGCTTGAAGCACCAGTCCTGGAGATCCAGGTTTCCAGAGATGTAGGTGCAAAGCTCTGGCTGGGCTCGCCCCAGTCTGTGGAGCCCATGCCCTTTTGGTGTGCCTCTTAATTCCAGCCTCCTGTCTTCTCCTCCCCACCTCTACCCCCATCTTTTGTGTAGCATGGTTCTCAGTGTCTCCTCCCTCAGGCTTTTGTTATGGGTCAGCTCAGCATAGGAAGCCAGACTAGAATTTAAAGTGCCTGCATCGCTGAGCTCAGGGCCATCAGTCAGTTCTCATGCAGGCGGAGACTGAGCGGGCCCTCGCCAGGCAGCAAGGAGTTTCTAAACCAAAAAATCACATGACTAAGGGGTCTTGCCCAGTTTAGCGATATGTGCACCTTGCCTTTGTGGGGGCTTGTTGTGCAAGCTGTTTTGACAAGATATATCTTAAGCTGACTATGTTTACAGGAATTAGATTAGGGAGGGGAGGGAGACAGTTACTCCTTACTAAACAGCCTTGAGCAGAGGGTAAAAACACATTCCTTAGAGTAGATAACAGGAAGCATAAGGGAACCTAATAATTTTCCACAGTTCTAGCACAAAATTCAGTTGACTCATTGCAGCTTTAATTCATTATGAGCACTGTTTTTATAAAACCAAAGTTTAAAAGCCCTGCATGACAGAACACACACACACACACACACACACACACACACACACCACATGCCCATCTGTTGGTGTCTGGAAAGAGTACAATCACACCACAAGCAGTGGTCACCCCTGGGAAAGGATGCAGACTGGGGACCAGGCCAGCCCTCGGAGGTGCTCTGATCTCACCTGGCCCAGGGGAGCTGCCCTGAGTCTCTGCCTTCTGTCTGGTGGGGTCATTCAGCCTGTTTCCTTTTCCTGATCACCCACACCTTCTGCGCAAAGAGAAGCGGTCGTGTACCTAGCAAGGCCACCATCCACAGCTACCTCTTGGTCTCGTAACACAGTGGTGCTCACCTGTAATCCCAGAACTCGGGGAGGGTGAAGCAGGATACTGAGTTCAAGATCAGCCAGGGCAACTTAGTGACTTAGCAAAGCATTGTCTTAAAATTAAATATTAAAGGGGGCCATATTGAGGAAGTAACTTAGCATGAAGGCCTATGTTGAATCCCAAGTACCACCAAGTTAAAGGAAGAAAGAACAAGAAAAGGAAAGCTATCCCCAGCTGCCAAACCCTAGAGCATAATAGCCCTGCCTGTCGGTTTCCTGACAAGCTGCGAGTGCTCACTGTCCCACCAGACCGTGTTCCAAAGACGCTCTTAGACCTTCTTGTACCTTGGCCACCTCGCCCTGCCTTCTCTCATTTCCTCAACAACCCAGCTTCCTGTGTCCAAGTAGATACGCAGCCCTGTTGGCCAGGAGCCAAGGCTTCTTGCGGGGGGGGGGGGTCCCCTCAGCTGCACCACACATAAGCACCCTCCACTCCTCTTGCATAGTCTGATGGGGACAGTCACCTACAGAGTGGAGGCAGCCCCAGACCAGAGACAAAACACCACCACCTGCTCAGGAATGCCCTCTGCATCCACTCCCACCACCATCTGTGCTGTGCCCCGTGTTCCCAGTTCTCCATTTCTCCCACTCCACTGACTGCCATCCATAATAGTGGTGGGTTATCTGCAGAACTGGCAATGTCTGGCGTAGTCCTGATTCTCCTTCCGGAGTAGGATACAAACCACACCACCATCAGGCATCCCAGGGACCTGCCTGGTACTCTGAGGAAAAATCTGTGTGTGACAGAACTGCTTGTGCTACAGGGCCAGTGTCATTCGTGACCTTGAAGAGCAGATATCAGAACTGACCACAATAATAGAACAAATGAACAGAGACCACCATGCTGCCCGGAAGTTGGTGAGTGAGCCTTGCCTCTTTATCAGCAGAGTTGACTCCCTCCCATGAGCCAGGCATCTCGGTGGCAGGACCACGCACCCAGGTGGGGTATTTTCTGACCCTGCACTCATTCGTGACTGCAGCTCTCATACCTGGGCATCCTCTAGGTGTCTTGGGGTAGGCAGAGGCATTGTCTTCACACACAGGTGGCTGGTCAGTCCCTGTCAGGCCTTGGTGATGACAATAAACTTCAGAAGTCATCAGGCTCTTGCTAATTTCCCCAGTGAGGGTTTTCTTTCCGTGTGGCTCAAAAGCCACTGTTACTGCTAAGTGTCAACAGTCTTCACCTGGCTGTTGTTCACACTGTTGTGCTTTCTGGGTTTTGGGGTACTCTTCTAGGGTTTACCTTAGACTGTGTGGTCCAGCAGGGCTCCTTCTCCCTCATCTCAAGCAGGTCCAGCTGAAGGCTGGCTGGAGTCATGCTCAGAAACACTCTCAGCACTAGGGAGGCTGAAGCAGGAGCATCATGGTGAGTTAGTGACCAGCCTGAGCTACAAAGTGAGCTTAAGGCTAACCTAAACTGCATAGAGAGACCCTGTCGCAAAAAGACCAGACAGACAGACTGGCACAGGAGACCAGCCCAGCCATGAAAATCAAAGATGGGGCTTCCATGCACCAACACTATGAAATGATTATGTTCAAAATCACAAAAAGCAAGAAAGATGTGTTCCATTCCTCCAGTGATAATGTCACGCTGGCAACAGGAACCACACGGGAGGGGTGGGAAGCCTGTGGGTGTGGCCCCCTAGGGTGAGCAGCTCAGAGGTGCTGACGGCCTCAGTTGCCCTTTACACACTGACCTTGTTTCCAGCTCTGTAATGAAATGGAACAGCGCCGTGATGTGATGAAGCGGAACTTTGAAGACAAGGCCAGGTATGCTCAGACCTGCATTCGAGCACTGAGGACCCAGAGGCTGCTGTGCCTTGCAGAGTGGTGCCCCACAGGGAGAGAGGTGGGGTGGAGGAGGTGGCACCAGAGTCCTCGTGAGCAGAACGGCATCACTGGAGCCACTGAGATGGAGCCCAGGAAGGGTTACTCTCACTTTTGTATTCATCCTCTTTTTCTTTTCCATTTTAGTTATAATCTTTCTTTTCATTGGTTCCTGAGAAGAGCCACTGTTTGTTCTCAAGGAGATCTCTATGATATGCAAATGTTTTCTCCCCCATTTTCTCCTCCTTCTCCTTCTCTTACCACTACTTTCTCTGGGTGCTAAGTCAGGGCTTGGGCAAATTAAGAGGAAGAAGTGGGGTGGACATGATGAACAGAGGAAAGGGGGAGGAAGCGTGTTGTCTGTGGGTACAGAGAGCCTCAAGGTCTTCATCGCCACAGCCTGCTGGGACCAGAGCAGCCTCAGGAGTCCTGGTGGAGAGGGAACACTCCTGGTGGAGTTGTCTGGAGCCACTTATTGATTTATTTAGTTAGTTCAGTGTTTAGAAGTCTTAGGTTTTCAGCATTTGAAGAGAAAGTAAAAAGCTTCCCTTGTTACAGAATTCAGGAACCAACCAAATAGAAGACAACACCACCAGAGGAACTTGGGAAGGCAGCTTTATTTTGCTAGGGGGCGACTGGGAAACTCAGTTCCAAATCACTAGCCCTGTCTTGAGGTTCTGGAGTCACTTAAATGGGTTTTCAGAAGGAAGTACGAAACGGCAGGTAACATTCTCTAGTTGGTTACACATGTCTTGGGCACTAATGGTAGGCAGAATTTGCTCTTACAGGAACTAATAAGGTTACAACCCTATACCTTGGAGGAAGAATCAATCACTGAGCCTGGGCAGCAAAGTCCTTGAGGAAACAGCTCTGGTCTCGAAAGTACCAGAACACCACTGTCTGGTTGAGCTGCACTTAGCTCACAGATGGCTCCAGGAGGGCCACGGCTCCTTAAGTTTTGCAGCTAATTGTGAGAACTGACTGTGCTTCCCAGTCTCCTCCTTAAACCATCTTAGAAATATATTAAATTTAAATTTTGCATTTAAAATAGTGTCCAGGGCTGGTGAGATAGCTGAGCGGATGAAGCCCTTGCTTAGGCAAGACCAGGGGTCAGGGTTGGATCCCTGATACCACATGCTGCACCAGCCCCACCCCCATAGTGCTGAGCCGGTGACCAAGTTCTGGTGTGGTGGCACGTGCCTGTAATCCCAATGCTGGAGAGGCTGAAAACAGGAGGATCAGTATGAGTTCGAGCTGTGTAGTGGGACCCTGCATAAAAAAACATAAAATAAAAATAAAAAATAAAATAGCGTCCATACAGGGTACCTACTGCCAGTCAGCCTCAGTCCCTTGCCCCAATGAGGGACACACCAAGACACATGCTAATTGAACTCTCAAAACCAAAACAGAGGATTCTGAGAGTAACAAGAGATTAATAAGCACATCATGTACAAAGGGTCCGATATAGCTACCAGCAAGTTTCTGAGCAGAGCAGGGTGGTATAATGAGTAAAACTGCCCAACCCAGCAAAGCTGTTTTCCAGAAAAAGGAGAAATAAAAACTTTCTCAGATAAAAACGCTAAAGGGCAGGGGCTGGGGGTTCGATCCCTGGGCCTACCATGCCCAGGGCGCACTGAGACAGCATTTGAGACTGGGCGAGGTGGTACATGCCTGTAATCCCAGTTCTTGGGAGGCTGTAAACAGGCAGATGACTACGAGTCCAATCTAGTATGAGACCCTGAATACCCTATAGACCCTTCCCTAAAATACAAAGAAAAAAAAAGAAAGAAAGAAAAAGAAAAGCTGAAGGAATTCCTCACCATTAGACTTACATTACAGAAGTTGCTAAAGAGAGTTCTTTAAAACAAGACAGCTGTTAAGGTAGCTCAGTGTCTAAAGCACCTGCTAAATAAATAAATAAAAATTAAAAATAAATAAATAAAGCACCTGCTTAGGCAAGCTTCGGCCAGCATGCAGGGACCTCAGTTCAATCCCCAGCACCACATGACATGCCAGCCCCGCGCCCCCTTCAGCAAGACAAAAGGCTTCTTCTAATCAATAACATGAAATGTAGACAGCCAGGCATGTGGCATATATCTGTAATCCCAGAACTTGGGAGGTTGAGGTAAGAGGATTACTGTGAGTTTGGGGCCAGCCTGCAGTACATAGTAAATTCAAGGCCAGCCTAAACACATAACAAGGCCCTGTCTCAAAACACCAAAACAAAACCAAAAAGAAATGTAGACAAACTCAGTGGTACAATTAAACAAGAACAAGACTCAGAAAACTTTTAGGCTATGATGATGGCATGTAACACAATTTTACCTCAAATAAGAATCAAAAGACAAAATTGTATCACAACTAGAGTTAAATAAGGTCTAACATTGCAATGAATTGAAATGTATAGCAATAAGGGCCTTTACAATCTTATTTTCAACAATGTATAGATAATCTGGGCAGAAAATTCCTAAGCAAACATTGGTTTAAACAAGTGTCAGACCAAACAGGTGTCCTGGCTTGGACAAAGCTGCCGTCCACCAGCAGTGGTACCACCTTCTCCCCAGTGTGCGTGGAACGTTCTCCAGACTAGGCCACACGCGGGGGTGCAACCCCAGCCCTAACAAAAGACTCACGTCCCATTTGTCCCAAGAGTGCTTGCTGGCAGCACTTTCAGCTGTACCATTTAACAGAGTTACCTCGCAATTGCAGAACTTTAGCGTTCTGCTAAAGTTGGTCATGAAATAGCTCACTTTCATCATTATTTTTATTTTGTACTAGGACACCGACAGTCTTTAGAACAAAGGATATCACTGTATTTATAGCATTCTATTTTTAATAGTGATAAAATACAGTAATTCTCAATCACTGAAAATGTCAAATCCTATAAAATGTAGCATTTGTACATGTGATATTAACATGTTTGTTACGCAGAGATTACAGAGCCAGGTATTGTGGCACATTCTTGTAATCCCAGTACTCAGGAGGCTGAGGCAGGAGGATCATTGCAAGTTCAAGACAAGCATGGGGAGGGGAGGGAAACAACCGTTAAGAGACTGGGTGTGGTGGTGCACGCCTATAAGCCCAGCACTTGGGAGGCTGAAAATGGGAGGATCACTGTGAGTCCTATCTGTGTAGGGTGACCCTGTAGACCCTGTACTAGAAAGAAAAAGACCACCCTGGGCTACAAAGTGAGCTCAAGGACAGCCTGAACTTTATAGCAAGACCCTGCCTCAAAAAAGACCAAAAGTAAAATTGTACAAAATTTCTGTTTAGAAACAATATCAAGAATAGTTTTATAGGACCAGAGATAGAGCTGAGTGGCACAGTGCCTGCCTAGCAAGCACAAGGTCATGAGTTCAATTCCTGGTACCAAAAAAAGGGAATAGTTTTATATTTTATTTTCATATTGAAAATCAGATTTTCCACAGCCTCAAAGAATGTGTTTATGTAAAATTAAATGAACACTGGTGTTATGGTTTGTGTCTAGTTGTCCCCCAAAAGCCTCATGCAATCATGGGGTGAGGACTTCTAGAGTTTGTGATTAACTCATGATCCATTGGGATTATGTGTGATCCAAGGCTGGGATTATGGGTCTTAGTACTGCTGGAATTATGGGTATGAGTACTTCCCGTGTGTTTGGTGCATATATATTTATGAGTGTTACCTCTTCTTCTTGAATTTTTCCCCTAACCAGTATATAGTGGCCTTCTTTATTTCACTTGATCATTGTTGGTTTGAAGTTGAGACTGTCTGAGAATAGGATTGCTA